ATCTTTCCTCAGAGGGAGGTTCTCCAGCTCCACGGCCCCTGAGGAGCAACACCGTCACACACACTCAAATACCAACTGGGAGTTACACAGTGACCAAGGGATTTTCCAATATAAAGGATCACACTTTAACAAATGTAACACAGTCCCTTACAAGGGCATAGACTCAGTTGCCATCATTAAATTGAGATGACACAAAGGATGAAAATGGGCTACTGCTATCGACCAATGTCATCTGATTTGCAGATGACTTCATCGTGTTGCTTCAATTCTATCATGGCTAGATGTTGTTTTAGTTTTTTGCGGCTAGACTCAGCACAGTAACCAGCTGCTTGTTGAGCTTGGGGTGGGCGGGGGTCACATGTTAAGAGGACAACAATCAGAGAAAAATACACTGTCTGTCTGTCTGTGGTACGCTAGGATAGTGTCAGAGGATTAGATTTGTGTATCCACTATGCAAGTGATTATACTAATTAGAGTTTTGACTCTGGTGGTCAGTCCGTACACTTACAGTATCATAAGTAGTTAGTAGGCTGGAGGTGGTTATAGAAATCGCTCTTAGAGCAGGTATTTAATAATGATTATTTTTCTCGTGATAGAGGTCTTTGTTACGGGCTGGTCCACAGAGTTGTATGATTATATTTGTGCTTATCCAATGGTAATCGGCCCAGAATGTAACATGCTCATGTTCATCCTGGTATAGAACAATGTAGCATGGTTTGTAAAATAATCTGTTAGAACCTGAAGCAATGCATGTGTAATTACCTTTGAGAAGGGCGATGGAGAGCTGGTCTGTGTTCAGGTTGCTGACATATTTCCCCAGGTATGTGTTCAGCACCCAGGCCACCAGGCCTTCCAACATCCTGCAGGCTTCTCTGAAGTTCAATGTCTAACAAACATAGGAAACATGTCTTATTGATATATAGAAATACGATGGCTTCATAATGTCATGAGTGAAAACGGTATCTCCATTAGGCAATCTTCTCCTATATGGGTGAGCCAGCATCTGCAGCAAAGTCATGTCTAAAATCCAGACTTTTAAATATAGAATTACTCAAGTGTGACTACAATAATTATTGAACTTTGATACATGTCATCATACAAGGCATGTGCCCCATAAACCCCCTGCTTGCCTCTGTTCCCTCCTCCTGTGAAGCTGACCCACTGAGGGCTCAGCAGGGACGGGATGTCCGAACGCTCAACAAGGCCACGCCATTTTCTGGGAGGCCTTTTAGAGACATTTAAAGCGACAACGTACTCTCCAACGGGAATTTATTTTTGTATTATATTAACTAGCTAATTAAAGTGAAAAAAAGGAAGTACACCACACTGAAGCTTTCTGACGTCGTATCATCAATGACAGCGCTCATGTACCTGCAGTGACTTCATAGAGGGAAAGCAGTTACAGGGTCTATCACAGTTAACAGCATGGTCACCAAAGAATGCCTTATCACACGTTTGCAGTTTAACAGTTACTTTAAATGCTCAATTAAATGTAGCACAAAATCTTAACAGGACGACACTTTAACTAGCGTTAACGTAGTAACCAGACAGAGTGACTTCTTACCGCCAGAGACGACAGGTGTTCATCCGCCCAGCTTCAGTCCATGTCAGCCTAACCCCGCTGTCAGTAGGTGCTCATGGCTCTTCAAAAGCACTGAGAACAGGACTCCAGTCTGTCGTTAAACTTCGTGAACTGCACACCATGGGCTGCAGGCAGTGACACTACATTAAGCTACAGGGAAAATAACAACTGGTTTGTTTAAAAGCTGTCAGGAGCATACAGAGCTAAACTGCTGCTTGTTGACGGACAGGGCAAGGTTGTGATCTACTTAGCTAGCCACTTTGCTAAAACTAGCTCGCCCCGGTGGACAAATAGCAGCCAGAAACCAGCAGCTGCGTTAATCTGACTCAGAGACAACACCGACCCTTTTTCTCTGGAAACACATTTAATCCTCGAAAATAAGTGGTGTTTGTTGTATTTCCAGACTTCAGAGTTGTGTCGTATTGACACACTTCCCATGTACCGATGAACGTCCAACACTTACTTCCTGTCATGTGACGAAAACAAACTGCTCCTTTCGTGTGGCGTTCAATCAAAACCCGGAAAATGTGCATTGAACTGCACATTTTAATATAAGCCTAGTATAAGGTTTAGAGTCCTGTATTCCAAAAATAAAATAAAAAGCCAAGCCAAAGCCATTTCCCTGATGCATTTATCATTAGGTGGAAGCAATTGTTATCAGTACCATCACAAGGAAGTAATCAACAGGATGACCTCCGGGTACACGGTTATGGCTAGAAAGGATCCGTCTTGTGTAAAACTCTCGCGAGAGTTTGGCTGAATGTCACGTGGCTGAATGTTTACCTTTGGCAGGCAGCCTTTCAGTTACGATCGTTAACATCAGTGGGCCACAGCAAATGATGATGAGAAGCTAAACTATCTATTAATTATGTCAATTACAGGGAGTGTGATTGTTGAAATAGGGTGTTAGCGTTCTTGCTGGTGTTCAAAGAAGAATGACAACACTGTAGATCACCAACACTATGGTTTATTTTGTATTCATAGGCAAATCAACGTTGTCGCAGTAAAAGTCCCAAGATAGTTCCTGGTGCAATAAAATGTTCCCTTGCAGTGTTTTACTATTATGTCTGATGTTTCTCTATTAATATTGCTGCTGCATTAATGTGTATGTTGCATCATGTTACTTCTGTAGATGTTTTTCCGAGCCG